CTTCCCAGAAATGGCGAAAGTGCAATTCTCCAAGTCATAATGGATACTTAGAATTTTATGGTGGTGGTAAGTATTCATGAAAACAGGTAGCCTAACATTAGTGAATGGGTGAATTCTGGAAATAACCTAAAAATCTTACACAGTGCACCTTTAAGCAAGGGGTTTCTTTCGTGCTTTCAATTTTGCAAAATCATCCCCCACATCATTGAAGTCCAACTCTCTTGTCAGCTCACTCTCAATTGCCATTAGAGATAACGCATTTAATCTTTTCTGAGTCATTCTTGTGCGCAGCTCATTTTTTACTCTTGACAAAAGAGAGAATGAGCGTTCTCCCTCACAGTTACTGACCGGTAGAGTGAGAAAAATCTGTAGCGCAATGTATGTATTAGGAAACGTAGGCTGTAGTCCAAAATGTATTATTGGTTTGAGCAGTCCTGAAAGGGTCCTCTCCTCATCAGTGTTGTTGAGCTGTATAAAAGATTTGAACTGTATAAGCTCCTGTCCAAGACTTTCATTGAGGTCAGATGGGTATGATTCAGTGAGAATCTTGGCCTTGTGAAGGACTGAAGCATTGGACTCTGTATCCAAAGAGAAAAGGACACTGAACAAATTGTTCAGATGTTTGCAGGCCTCCAGACGGTGATTAAGGCTTGAACTCAGTTGATCAATAGAGGCAATAAATGTCTCTATTTGAAACAGTTGCCTTCCCTCAAGCACAACATCTGGGGATGCTGATTCATCAGCAAACTTTTTACGTTTCCTCGTCCGTTCAGCCCTGTAAGATGGGGTGCCACCCAACATGTTTAAGGCTTTCTGCTCAAAATGATCAAATAGATCTCTTTGGGAGAGAACAAAGGTGCGCAGAGATTCCAGCAATCTAACTGCTGTACCAAGGTCCATGTCTGCTTTTTGAAGTTGCAGACTTGTGGCCTGAAATCTGGACAGAACAGTGTCCCAAAAGCCTGCCTTGAAGGCCATCTCAAGTGAATCCAGCTTCCGCACTAGACTGTCAGCTTCAGTTCGTGTGTCTCGTTTCTCTGTGTCATCAGTGGAAATAACCTGTAGTGCTGCTTTTATTTTACTGTAGTTCTGCCACAGTGCTTTGGTAGATTCTGCACGGCAACTCCAACGCGTGTTGGATAAAGCTTTAAGTGTGAGATCTATGTTGGAATTGCCAAATACCCTGTCCCATCGGTGTGTGGATGCAGTTGTGAAGTTGTAAATAGACTGAATCAAGTCAAAATACTTAGAGACTTCATTTCCACATCTGTCAATGCTGTTGACTCCCACCAAATTCAAAGAGTGAGCTGCACATGGAATATAGTGTATTAATGGGTTGCTTTTCTTTAAGTGAGCCTGCAACCCATTATACCTCCCTGACATGTTGCTGGCATTATCATAAGCCTGCCCCCTGCAATTTGACAGCTCTAACCCTAGATTTTCCAACACAGACATGACACAGTTAGCCAAACTTTCACCTGTATGGCTAGTAATGGGCTCAAAACCCACAAAGCGTTCAACAACACTGCCCTCTTTGCTAACAAAACGGAATATGAATGTCAATTGGTCCACATGAGATAAATCTGGGGTTGAATCCACAATGATAGAGTAGTATTTGCTTGCTTGCAGTTCATCTGCTATAGCCTGTTTGGTTTTTGCACCCATCAATTCAATGAATTCCTCACAAATGGTGGAGGACAGATATGAGGTATTACCTCGACCCATCTGCCCAAACTTTCTGATGTGATCCTTTAGAAAGGGATCAAATTCAGCCAGGACCTCCAGAATACCAAGGTAGTTCCCATTGAGAGGAGACCCTAACGATTCATTTTTACCCCTAAATGCAAGGCCCCTTTCTGCAAGGAATTTAATGACTGCAACAACTCTTTGTAACACCTGCCTCCAATAGCTGCTCTCTGCCTGAAACTGTTTGAACAGGTCTGCATCAACTGTGGCACCTTTGGCGCGGTTCAAGACTGCTTGCATGCAGGTTATGTGCTCAGCACTTCGCTCATGTTCACCAAATCTTTCTGAGTGTTTCCAATCACAATAGCCTGTCACAAAAGAATGCGTTTTTGGGGAAAACAGTTTGCATGCAAAGCAGTAAACATTACCAGTAGAGGGAGAGTACATCAGCCACTCTCTTTGTACTCGTTGTCCATTGGGCAAGTGTGAAGTAAAATGTTCATTGTTTAGGCATCGGGTTTTGCCTCCTAGCCCACTGTTCCTCACAGAAACTGGATAATGGCTGTGACGGTTGTGAAATGATTTTGCACCTCTTTGAATAAGAACTTCCTTCATTGACTCAGTGAGGGTCTCAGCCCATTTAGCGGGATCACTAGGTAGAGTTGTCACTGTAGATGGTGTTGAAGAAAGATTCAGCTCATTTTCTATGCTGTCCAGAGGTGCAGTGACCTCACATTCATCCGAGCAACTGGCTACTGCTGAATTGGTTGAATCATAAGCATCAGAAGCATTTGGTTCAGTGTCTACACTTGTAGTGGTCTCAGGATCTTGGGAGCTACATGCTAGCTCAGGTGCATTGCTAACCTTAGCTGAATTTGCAGTAGCATTTATAGAATTGCTTTCAGCAGATGTCTTTGTACTGAAGAAGCTGGAGATATTTGGAACACTCTCAAGTAAAACTGATTCCTTTTTTTTCTTTTCTTGCTGAATTTTTTTTCTAGCTCCTCCACTTAAACGTTTATGATCCATATTTCCCTTCTTTCTTTGCACATTGGCTCTTTGCCTATCACAACAGATAAACCAACTATGTGTGTGTGTGTGTGTGTGTGTGTGTGTGAGTTTGTTTGTGTGTTTATGATCGATGCTGCTTCCTTCAAGTGTGTGAGGTGATTTAGAAAACTAGCAACCCAGCATCAACACTCCAAAGCAGAGAATAACAGCTTACTAGCATAGACAATTGAGAGCAGAGAATCAACTGATTCGTCTGATAGACAGCAGGAGAGCAGAGTGGTCAGTGATGATCGAATGAAGAAAATGTCTAAATGGCAAGGGAACAGACTGATTTGTACTGAGGAGAAAGAGAGAGAGAGCCAATTACAGTGAAATATATTCCAAAAGAGCCAAGTGACTAGCTGAAGGCAGGGACAAATGCCTTGGAGTGACCAACAAGAGTGCAAAGTACCAAATGGCAAAATGTGGGAAGACCAACAGGCAGATCTGCTTTTACCACTTATCTTCACAACCAAAAAGTCGCTAAATGATGTTTTTAGTCGCTAGCCAGGTATGGCCAAAAGACACGAAATCTAGCGGCAAAGTCGGTCAATCACACTGACAGTGAAACAAATATTTTGAAAAGATAATAATTGTACAACTTTGTGCACTTTTTTCTTCTATCTAAATATTTTCACAAAGGACACCAAAATGTTGCTATCTGCAGGCAGCTTGCTAGCTATGATGGCAGCAACGATGTCTGCCAGACAGGAGAGAGTGGTCAGTGACGATCGAATCGAGAAAATGACAAAATGGGTCAAAGACCAAAAAGTTATTACCTGACAGCAGTGACAAATGTCAGACTGTAAACTTTTTCGAAAGAAAAGGACAAAATGGGAAGATGCTGATAGTAACAGCAAAATGGAAAATATAAGAATTTCCAAGTAATGCTCAACTCAAGTGTGTGTGTGTGTGTGTGTGTGTGCGCGCGTTAAACTTCTTGTTGAATGATTTCAAATTATCTCTGAGTCTGAACTGAGGGAAAGGAAACCAAATTTTGAGCAGTCTCACGAGTTCAAAATACCAAATGAGGAGATTCTAAAAGAACAGACCGGTTTATGAAAGACTCGATGGGGGAGGGGCACAGCTAAGAATACTTGAGTGAGATTCTGTGATCCAAATTCGAGATAGAGCTTTTTGATAATGATAATTTGTCAGAGTAAGGTTGTGTAATCAAAATTTGAGAATGAGCTTTGTCAATCAATCAAGAATATTTGCATTAAGTTCTGTGATCAAAATTCAGAAACAACCTTTAATAATTGATAAAGAATATGTGAGTGAGGTTGTGTGATCCATCCAATTTGAGAATTAGCTTTGATAATAATGATTGAGAGCCTCTGGCCCTTTGGGGCCTCTGGCCTTCTGTGGGTCGTGGCCGCGGGGCCAAGTTGGCCTGGCCCCTTGGGGCCTCTGACCATCTATGGATCGTGGCCGCGGGGCCAAGTTGACCTGGCCCCCTGGGGCCTCTGACCCTCTATGGATCGTGGCCGCGGGGCCAAGTTGGCCTGGCCCCTTGGGGCCTCTGACCGTCTATGGATCGTGGCCGCGGGGCCAAGTTGGCCTGGCCCCTTGGGGCCTCTGACCGTCTATGGATCATGGCCGCGGGGCCATGTTGGCCTGACCCCTTGGGGCCTCTTACCCTCTATGGATCATGGCCGCGGGGCCAAGTTGGCCTGACCCCTTAGGACCTCAGGCCCTCTGTGGGTCGTGGCCGCGGGGCCAAGTTGACCTGGCCTCTTGGGGCCTCTTACCCTCTATGGATCATGGCCCCTTGGGGCCTCTTACCCTCTATGGATCGTGGCCGTGGGGCCAAGTTGGCCTGGCCCCTTGGGGCCTAAGATTATTATTTTTGCAAAAGTAGTTTTGCTTGGGTCGCGGCCGCGGGGCCAAGTTGGCCTGGCCCCTTGGGGCCTCTGGCCCCCTGGGCCTGGGCCCGGTAGGCCCGGTCATTAATCCACCTATGCCAGTCTGTCTAGCTGCCTCAGACAGCACCTTCTACAGCGGGGTTGAGTCCTGAGTAACTGGCTGGGGAAACATTGGAATTTTTCGTAATTAAAACACAACTAACTTTATTTTAAAATCAGAAAGGCATCAACACAGTGCTGATATTAGTGTCCTTGATTTAAATCATCACAAAACTGAATAATCTCTTGTCATTTCAAAACTACTGATAGTTCCATGATATTGTGGCACAATAATTTTATTCTCTTAATTTCTTTAGAATTTCATTCTAAGTTAACCAACTGAATTTGTGATTTTTCTAGATCCCCTTCCATCACCTGGAAACCTTTTGGAAGTGGAGGCTCAGATTGTGGGAAATGGTCAATGCAGCTGTGACTATAGTGACCTAGGTTATATAAGTATTACAGACAACATGATATGTGCTGGGTTTCAAGAAGGAGGGAAAGGACCCTGTTTTGTAAGTCTTAACTATTTTCTATTATTTTTTATTTTCTGCTCTTATTCCTTCTTCTGACCTGCTGTAAACAATTTGTTTCTGCTCTTAAAGGGAGATTCTGGAGGTCCACTGGTTAGTAAGCAGGGTGATCGCTGGATTCAGGCTGGAGTTGTGAGTTTCGGTGTTGGTTGTGCTAAGCCATTTTTCCCAGCAGTCTATGCAAGAGTGTCCCAGTACAATGAGTGGATAAACAGCCACGTCACCAGAAACCAGCCGGGCTTTATCACCTTTACATCCAACGGGAGTGAAAGTGATTTAAATGTTTCCTGTACAAAACCAACCTTTGACCCAGTGATAGTAAACATATCTGAAGGTACGAAAAAACACAATCTCATAAGCCCCCTTTCCACTGGCTTCACTTTGCCTTAATCAACTCCAGCAATTATTAAATGTCTATTGCTGCTTTTTCCGTACCACTGATGGCTTTATTTGGCCCTGCGCATAAGTAGGTACGATCAGAAAAAGAAATAATTACTAAAACATTTAGTCATTTGATGGGTTTGACCAGGCTAAAAGGAGTTAGTAAAAAAGGGGCAATTGTTAACAACTTTATCGTTGTTTATTTATTATTCAAACAAGCAGTTAGTATTAATGATAATGAAGGATTCCAGTTTAGCATACTGGTCTTTGATCAGTTTTACTGATTTATAATCAGTTGTTTAATCTATTTTTTCTCAGTGTGTGGTCAACCATCACTCAACACCAGGATTGTTGGAGGACAGGCAGCTCCTCCAGGCAGCTGGCCTTGGCAGGTCAGTCTGCACATCTACGACCACTTCTGTGGAGGATCTCTGATTAGCGACCAGTGGGTGCTGACTGCGGCTCATTGTGTCCAAGGGTAAGCAAAAGCACAAGAGTCAACACCTCACTCAAGAGCCAGGTTGCTTATGGGTTTGAAATGTAGTAGTAAAGTAGGAGATTTGTTTGATGGAGAATCTTACCCTGTGAAAAATATCACCATTTCACATTTATCTTGACAAATAAACATAAATGTAAGATAAATAAATTTATTTTGAGCATTGATGAAAACTATAGGAAAGATAAAGAACTGCCTTATTATACTATAGTTGCATCTGGTAAACACGTTCAACAAAAATAAAGCCTTAAAATTTGGTAGTAGACCTGCTCGACTTTAACAACAAACCAAAACTATGTGAAATAGCAATGGTGAAGAAAACAAACAGCCAAACATACAAGCTGAGTTTAGAAACGGCTCTGGAGCTGAGAATAGATGTTGATGTAAAAGAGATGAACTGTGCCCTAATCTTTTTAGACAGATGCATATCATGTTTAGCATAATGGAGCAGAAAGTTATCAAAACAACTGTTCTATAGCAGAAACAAAGATGCAAACAGTAATAATCTGCTACAATACGGGTCTCTATTAGGGGTGGGTATTGGCAAAGAAGTCATGATTCGATTCGAATCACGATTCACATGCCACGATGCGATTCTATCACGGTGCATCACGATACTTGAAATATTGCGATGCATTGCGATATTTTCACTGAACACTCTAGGAAAAAGATACAGCCCTTACCAGTGGCTGACTGGCTGGGTGTGATCTGGATAGTGTCTTCAATTGATACATAACTGAAAGTAACTGCATTCATACATAGCTGTATTTATTGAAATGACTTTTGGAGATGTTGCCATGAAAACAAATACTGGACACAAATATTACTATTACTGGCGTGGACACACTGACAAAAAGATCTTAGGATTCATAAAACTTAAAATAAAAAAATAGGGATAATCAGTGCCGTTTACATGGCCTCAGTGTTCCTTTAAACCAATTAAATGAAAACATTCAAATGTATATTTCTCCTTTTGCAAATTACCTGCATCATATAAATTTCCTTTTTTACCTTCTTTATTTTTAAAGCCAAAATGCATCCAAGCATCTGACTTGAAATGTGATGAAGCCGTGGGGCGAATTTTCATAGTGTCCTCCATGTTTTATTTCATATGACTCGTCTCAGTATCCCACGGCCAGACATGCTTGTGACACAAGGCAGCGGGGGTCAACACATCCGCAGCGACATCTGCTGGACTGGAAGTTGTATTCCACTTGATTTGGCTGATGTGTGCCAACCATTCATGTATTTTATTTGTTCATTTTTTTTTTATTAAGAATCGATTCTTGCCTTCAAGAATCGATGCAGTAGATCACAAAAATTAGAATCGCGATGCATCAATATGACGAATATTTTGCACACCCTTAGTCTCTATCATCGCACTGGTTGGAATATGAAATAATCATGATTTTGGTTTTTCATTCTTTTATCAGGTGGGATACGGTGCCGTCTCTTGTAACAGTTTACCTTGGTCGCCAGCGTCAGGAGGAATCCAACCCAAACGAAGTCGTTCGGAAAGCAACACAGATCACTATTCATCCTGGCTTCAATTATTCTACTCTAGACAATGACATTGCTCTTATAAGGCTTTCTGGACCAGTGAATTTCACCAGCTACATCTCACCAGTCTGTCTAGCTGCCTCAGACAGCACCTTCTACAGCGGGGTTGAGTCCTGGGTAACCGGCTGGGGAAACATTGGAATTTTTGGTAATTAAAACACAACTAACTTTATTTTAAAACCAGAAAGGCATCAACACAGTGCTGATATTAGTGTCCTTGATTTAAATAATCACAAAACTGAATAATCTCTTGTCATTTCAAAACTACTGACAGTTCCATGATATTGTGGCACAATAATTTTATTCTCTTAATTTCTTTAGAATTTCATTCTAAGTTAACCAACTGAATTTGTTGTTTATCTAGATCCCCTTCCATCACCTGGAAACCTTTTGGAAGTGGAGGCTCAGATTGTGGGAAATGGTCAATGCAGGTGTGACTATAGTGACCTAGGTGATATAAGTATTACAGACAACATGATATGTGCTGGGTTTCAAGAAGGAGGGAAGGGACCCTGTTTTGTAAGTCTTAACTATTTTCTATTATTTTTTATTTTCTGCTCTTATTCCTTCTTCTGACCTGCTGTAAACAATTTGTTTGTTCTCTTAAAGGGAGATTCTGGAGGTCCACTGATTAGTAAGCAGGGTGATCGCTGGATTCAGGCTGGAGTTGTGAGTTTCGGTGTTGGTTGTGCTAAGCCATTTTTCCCAGCAGTCTATGCAAGAGTGTCCCAGTACAATGAGTGGATAAACAGCCACATCACCAGAAACCAGCCGGGCTTTATCACCTTTACATCCAACGGGAGTGAAAGTGATTTCAATGTTTCCTGTACAAAACCAACCTTTGACCCAGTGATAGTAAACATATCTGAAGGTACGAAAAAACACAATCTCATAAGCCCCCTTTCCACTGGCTTCACTTGGCCTTAATCAACTCCAGCAATTATTAAATGTCTATTGCTGCTTCTTCCGTACCACTGATGGCTTTATTTGGCCCTGCGCATAAGTAGGTACGATCAGAAAAAGAAATAATTACTAAAACATTTAGTCATTTGATGGGTTTGACCAGGCTAAAAGGAGTTAGTAGAAAAGGGGCAATTGTTAACAACTTTATCGTTGTTTATTTATTATTCAAACAAGCAGTTAGTATTAATGATAATGAAGGATTCCAGTTTAGCATACTGGTCTTTGATCAGTTTTACTGATTTATAATCAGTTGTTTAATCTATTTTTTCTCAGTGTGTGGTCAACCATCACTCAACACCAGGATTGTTGGAGGACAGGCAGCTCCTCCAGGCAGCTGGCCTTGGCAGGTCAGTCTGCACATCTACGACCACTTCTGTGGAGGATCTCTGATTAGCGACCAGTGGGTGCTGACTGCTGCTCATTGTGTCCAAGGGTAAGCAAAAGCACAAGAGTCAACACCTCACTCAAGAGCCAGGTTGCTTATGGGTTTGAAATGTAGTAGTAAAGTAAGAGATTTGTTTGATGGAGAATCTTACCCTGTGAAAAATATCACCATTTCACATTTATCTTGACAAATAAACATAAATGTAAGATAAATAAATTTATTTTGAGAATTGATGAAAACTATAGAAAAGATAAAGAACTGCCTTATTATACTATAGTTGCATTTGGTAAAACACATTCAACAAAAATCAAGCCTTAAAATTTGGTAGTAGACCTGCTCCATTATAACAACAAACCAAAACTATGTGAAATAGCAATGGTGAAGAAAACAAACAGCCAAACAAATGAGCTGAGTTCAGAAACGGCTCTGGAGCTGAGAGTAGATGTTGATGTAAAAGAGATGAACTGTGTCCTAATCTTTTTAGACAGATGCATATTATGTTTAGCATAATGGAGCAGAAAGTTATCAAAACAACTGTTCTATAGCAGAAACAAAGATGCAAACAGTAATAATCTGCTACAATACAGGTCTCTATCATCCCACTGGTTGGAATATGAAATAATCATGATTTTGTTTCTTCATTCTTTTGTCAGGTGGGATAAGGTGCCGTCTCTTGTAACAGTTTACCTTGGTCGCCAGCGTCAGGAGGAATCCAACCCAAACGAAGTCGTTCGGAAAGCAACACAGATCACTATTCATCCTGGCTTCAAATATTCTACTGCAGACAATGACATTGCTCTTATAAGGCTTTCTGGACCAGTGAATTTCACCAATTACATCTCACCAGTCTGTCTAGCTGCCTCAGACAGCACCTTCTACAGCGGGGTTGAGTCCTGGGTAACCGGCTGGGGAAACATTGGAATTTTTGGTAATTAAAACACAACTAACTTTATTTTAAAATCAGAAAGGCATCAACACAGTGCTGATATTAGTGTCCTTGATTTAAATCATCACAAAACTGCATAATCTCTTGTCATTTCAAAACTACTGACAGTTCCATGATATTGTGGCACAATTGTTTTCTTGTCTGTTTTTGGTTTAAAAACTGAATTTGTGATTCTTCTAGATCCCCTTCCATCACCTGGAAACCTCTCGGAAGTGGAGGCTCAGATTGTGGGAAATGGTCAATGCAGGTGTGACTATAGTGACCTGGGTTATATAAGTATTACAGACAACATGATATGTGCTGGGTTTCAAGAAGGAGGGAAGGGACCCTGTTTTGTAAGTCTTAACTATTTGTATTTTTTTTTCTGCTCTTATTCCTTCCTCTGACCTGCTGTAAACAATTTGTTTCTTCTCTTAAAGGGAGATTCTGGAGGTCCACTGGTTAGTAAGCAGGGTGATCGCTGGATTCAGGCTGGAGTTGTTTCATTGAGTCTCAGTGTTGGTTGTGCTGAGCCCAAATTCCCAGCAGTCTATGCCAGAGTATCCCAGTATGAGAGCTGGATTAACAGTTTGATCAGCATCAACCAGCCAGGCTTCATTACTTTCACATCTGAAGGGACTGACACTGACCTCAGCATTTCCTGCACAACCCCAACAACAACACCAACTAAACCTAAACGTAGGTACCTATTTCCAAAAATTGTGTAAAAATAAAAAATCTATGTTTGCAACATATGGGAGTAGAGGCCTAGTATTAGAGCATTGCGATTAGGTCTCTGAGGTTCTGAGTTAGAGCCCCACTCCCACGGACTGCCACTCTGAGCGAGACCTTTAACCCCAGATAACTCCCTGGGGATGGGTTAAATGCTGGGGTAAATTTACACTGTCTTCTCACCAAACCGTTAGTCTGGTGTCTAAAGGAGACCGTACTGGTGTGATTCCAATTTGGATCTAATAAATACAACTACTAATTATAATTACAACTACTGGTGTCTACATAGTTTTCCAATTCATTGGGTGGTTGGCTTTGGTGTAAATGTCTTCCAGGTTAGCATATCAAAAGTAAAGAGATTATTATTATTAAAATTTTGGATTTGAGTAAAAGAAGTTAGAATACACAATCCATATATGGGGTCCTTTTTGCAATAACGGCAGCTTTACAATGTGTATCTTCTCCATCTTTTAATGTTATATATTCTGTTTTCTATCAAATAAAGACTACTGTAGCCATAGAAAACAGAAAGCAAGGAGGTATTTTATGGTCACTCGTGAAAATTTGTACGCATAAATTATCGCTCTGCATTGTAAAGTTAATGTGTTTTACTGAAATGCGTCTGTAAATTATTTGTCAAAAATTTCCCCCTTCCTTTCTATTTTTTTACAGCTGTAGTCTGTGGACAAGCCCCACTGGGTTCTCGTTTTTTGGGAGGTGTTTCAGTGACGTCAGCTGGCGAGTGGCCATGGATGGCGAGCTTGCAGAGAAATGGCCAGCATGTCTGTGGAGGGACGCTAGTGTCTGAGAACTCTGTGCTGACCAATGCTGACTGCTTCTCAGAGTAAGTTAAAGCTGAGGATGACAGGTTTCCATAAGTAATATTAACTTAAGCACATCACGGACTTTGTGACCTAAAGAGTTGATGCATATGAGTTATTTTAAATAATTCTTCAGGCCACTATACAGCGCTTGATGCTATCAATGCTACAAGCGCGCCCCGCTTTTGAAATACGACTATGTAAGTTGGGAGATGACGGACCTTCTTTGGCCAGGTCATGTAACCTGGAAGAATGTATCGCTTTATGGCTGCAGGCTCTTTCGTGGTCATGGAGCTAAGGCTTTTGCTCTACTATTTTTCTGCCTGCTCTAAAACTGGTTATGGCTTAAGATAAGAAAAAAAGTTTAAACCTTCTGAGGAGGCTTAAGAGAGAAATGTGAGAGGGATCAGCCTTTAGTGCTGTTCTTCTCATTGAACACATACTCCCATTAACTCTCGCTCTCTGTTGCATTGTGCTTCACGTTCCTTCTTTTCCAGATGCCCTAAAGAAACTCCACCTGTTTTTTTCTTGTTAGTTTTTTTTTTTTTTTTTATAAACAATCTTAAATCTGCCCTACCTGTCTTCTCGCTGTGTTCTGCATGTGGGTCAGAAAACAAAGGGCCATGACAGATGTTTAGTAGAGCAAAATATGGGCATTAACAGGTCAAGTGCCCCTAGTGGCCAAACATTACACTGTGTGCCTCTAACTCAATAGCTATTTAAACTGGTAAGATGCTAAAATACACTTTTAGCCTTTATTTAGTCCTTCTTCTATTCACCAGCTCGAATGAGGCGTCTGAGTGGACAGTCATGTTGGGTTGTCTGAAGCAGAACGGATCTAACAAATTTGAGGTGTCACTGAATGTGATAAATATCAGTATGAGCAACCTGACAGGAAGCAACATCGCAGTGCTAAAGCTGTCATCCCCGCCCCCCCTGAACGACTACATCCAGCCAATCTGCTTGGACAATGGAAGAACTTTCCCAGTAGGGTCAGCTTGTTGGGCTGCTGGCTGGAGCTCTGAAAGAGGAGGAGGTGAGACTAATACACAAAGGCTGAGAGTATTGTTAATATTTATACAATGATCAATCAGGAACACTGCAACTAAGGACTGTGAACCAGGAATTAAAGTTTATTTATTTCCTGACCATCAGACGAACAAGCTCTGCAGCAGTTCGAGACAACAGTACTTGATTGTGGGGATTCATCTTCATCTGACAGCATCTGCACACAATCATTCACCCTGGAGAAGGTACACATGCCAATATTTCTCACCCACTGTTTGGTTATGTATATTGCTGAATTAGGGTTTTAAAGTCAAACTTAGCATGACTTCAGTAAAATAAAAAATAAAAGAACATAATTTGAATTATTTTAATTGGGTCATTTTTGTGAACACAAGTATTATTAAAAACTTAAATTCAACTTAAATTTACTGCAGTAATTCATTTTACATTCAAATTTCTTTTTTACTTATCATTGATTACATAGGGCTAGTCACTCTGAAAATCCCTCCTTAGCTCAACCTTGCCTAGGTCCAGGCATGAGACACGTATTCACTTTAGTTAGATAAGTGACATGTTTTCAACCTATGTAAGTGCGAAGTCGGACCTTGAAGCTGACAGAAGCTTAGAAAAAAAATAATTAATGTTTTATTAGACAAAGGGTGGAGGTCAATGAGGTCAAGGAATGCTGTAGAGTCACAGAAACAATAAAGGGGAGAGAAAGAGGAGAATCCTGCAGAGAACGACAACCAAGATAACTTGAATATTGAAGACACTATGGAGACTGACTTGCTGCAGATGTGATAATTAGATGATGGCAAAAGGCAAGCAGGGAGACTAAGGAGGAGTGGCTAATTAGTACAGTAAAAAATAAACAAAATAAAGAAATAAATCCAGGAAAATATTAGCTTAAGTAAAAGAAAAAAGAATATGAAGGGAGTTAAATGCAGGAGTCAGCAAAGAAACTATGATGATGCAAACTTATAAGGCAAGAATATAAAAAAGAAAAAAGGGGTGAGATGCAAAGAAATCTAAACCAGACATCTGATGATCATAATTAATATCTGGCTCAAGATAAATCTGAAATATGAAAACTAGATTCCAAAACCCTTTTTTGTTGGTGTACAGGTTTTACTGTTGAGTTTTCTAAAGTTTATGATTGTGAGAATAAACACTTAATGTTTTTTTTCTGTTAGTCATCAGACTTGGTAACTGAGACTTACTGCATTTTCTTATATGATTCATTCCTCCTTGCTCAGTCTGTCTTAATGTCTGAATCTGTAGCAGATAATAAGCTTCTCTCTGTTTCAGACTGACTCTGGTGGTCCGCTCATGTGTAAGCAGGATGGCTCTTGGTTCCAGGTAGTTGTGCTAACATCTCCAAGCACCTCCAACAGAAGTAAACGAGCCGAGCCTATGATGGTCTTTGAAAAACTGGACCGCTTTAAGTCCTTTCTGGCTCGTACACTGGGACAATTCTTGTCTCCTGCTGTGACTGCCAATAACAGCAGCACCAATAGCACAAACTCCACCACAACCCCCTCCAGCATGACAACCAGTGGGGTTTCAGTTTCCTACTCTCCATTTTCCCTTTTAGGCCATCTTCTTCTCTTTGCTTTATGCCTCCAAACCTTCAAATAGACTGATTGTCAGGATATCAAACACACATAAAAATATGGTGAAGGTGTTTTTATTTTAGTCAATAATACTCTGATATGATTTAAAAGTTGTTTCTGCCTTTGGTTGATCAAAAGGATCATAGTTAACACCATGTTACCATTTACCTGAAAACAACATAAATTCTGAACACGATATCAACCTTACAGTAAAAAAAACTTGGAAATGCAAGGATTAATGAACAGATAACAGATGATAAAGAAAAAGGGGCTGATATATAAATTGTAATTATATCTATAATAAGTATCAAAGTTAGATTTTTCTCTTTCTGATTATTGTTACTGATTAGAGACATTGTTAATTTTTTCATCTTTTGAACAAATGATTCATTGATTTACATTAGAATATCAAGCAAACTGCCAGGTAGAGTGTTTAGATACAATACTATGTTATAATGTTACGATATTTTAATGTAAATATAATGTTACTATTTACTGAGGGATTATGATTGCTTAATTTCTTTCACCCAATTGAAAATTACTTTGAATAAACACATTTAATAAAATTATAAAGTACAGCATTTAAATATTTTTTCTTCCATTCAACTCTCTCTGCATATTAGTGCCTTTTTTTAAGTGTGTCCAGATAAGCAAATATAGCTCTGGGAATTGATGTCCCACAGCTAGCTGATATTAGCCTGACGTAGTCCTACTCAATTCTAGTCAGAATATGAGTCTGATACTGCTCCATAGAGCTGTGATTATGGGGCGTGTTTCGAACGAACCAGGAAAAAAAATGCCTCTGCACTCAATTGGATAGACCTACAACCAATAAGAGCAACGGAATGGCTCTCAGGCTAAGCTGATATAGCCTGGGTGCCATTCTGAACTTAGTCCCGCCCACAACGTTTGAGGTCGGGAAGTTCAGTCTGGCATTGCTCAATAGTAGCGCGAGTATGCTCGCACAATATCTGGCGGGCCAATCAAATTGTCAGGGCGGGCTTTATACGATGATGGACAGATGATCAACAGTAACGTAATCAACCATGTCACCAAAGCACGCTTGGGTGACAACAACAATTGCTGCCGCTGGAGAGTTGAGGTGTATAGATTCTGCTATTAGGTCTGTTCTAGAAGATATCGACAGCAAATTTTAAAAGAGGAACAGAGAAACGCGATCAAGGCTCATCTTCTTATTCTAGGCGTGCAACTGCACGCTTTGATTTTTGTTGACAACAACTATGCCTCGCTTAACATACGTCACGCACTCCGTTGCTCTTATTGGTTGTAGGTCTATCCAATTGAGTGCAGAGGCATTTTTTTTCCTGGTTCGTTCGAAACACGCCCCATAATCACAGCTCTATGGAGCAGTATCAGACTAGGACTACGTCAGGCTAAAGCTGATAGCCCAGCAACTTTGCCTTCAAGCAGCCCTTATGGCAACAGTCATATTGGTATTCTTGAAAGCAAAGTTATATTTGCATATCAAACTTTTTTGAACTTTCTTTGGGGAGTAAAATTATAAACAACGGATACGGAAAGGGAGGTGAGAGAGAAAGAGAGGATAAGAACTTAAGGGAGAGCTAGAGATATAGAAGTAGGAAAGAGTTCATGAAAAGAGAGAAAATGAATAAAAACAGCTAATTTACAACCAAAGAAAACTTAAAAAGAAAAAGCTTCAAGAGCACCGGATAGCCTTCCCATGTGTGTTTGAGTAAGAACCTACGGTGATTACACAATCTTAATTAGGATGGTATATATCTGTAGCTGCAGCTTAGTCTTTAATATAAGTTTTTATCCCTGAACACCTGGAAAGAAACGCATGAGCATTTTTTTGTAAAAGGATTCATAAAGCTTGTTAAGTAGGAATTACCCAAACCCGCACCTATAGAACCTTCACTATGCCAACAGACACTGCAACTTGTCCGTGGCGGGGAGCATAAAAGTGTTTGGGGGTTTAGGTGGGGGTTTAGGAGTTTCCGTGTGTAGAGGCTAAGCCAAAGCTTTAAGCCCCTGAGGTGGTACACCAGGGTAAAGTTGACACACCGATTACTTAGCCGCTTAATTGAAATGAGAGCCGTCCTTGATGTTAGTGCAGGTAATCCATTTATTTCCATGACTCTGCAATGTTGACAATAACACCGCATACATTGTTTCTGCGATCCACATAGCTTTCACTTCAATATAAGTAGTATTGCGTTGCGTTGCGTTGCGGTCAAAAACCGTTTCCCCCTTTCGGGTGGAACACACCTGTCCTCATCAACACCGGATCATACATATATAGACAGCTGACAGATCATGTGGCCCAAACCATTTGGAATACAGAAATTCATAATCTGCTCCTACACACCGGCCCCTAATTGTTATGGCAGGCAGACGTAACAATTATATACAATAACAATAGGAGCAAATGAATACATAACTGTTGATTTACACCCCCTGTATCAAACAAAGTTTGGTAACAGGTCTTTCAATGATATTGTTCTTTGTCTGCAGTTTTACAGATCGCACCATGCCTTTTTTATCAGAGAAAACCGATATTACTTTAGCAAGAGGCCAGGAGCCACGTGGGGCAGATGAATCCGTGATGACGACGACATCTCCAGATTTCAAATTTTGCTTCTGTTGATTCCACTTCTGTCTTTCTTGCAATAGGGGCAAATACTCCTTGATCCAGCGTTTCCAAAATAAATCTGAGATGTATTGAACTTGTCTCCAACGACGCTTCACATACATATCTGACGGTTCAAACAGCCCAGGTGGTAAGGCAGGTTTTCCTTTTAGTAGCAGTAGATGATTTGGTGTGAGAGGTTCCAAGTCATTTGGCTCATCTGATAGTCTTGTTATTGGACGATCATTCAATATGGCCTCTATTTCACACATAACAGTATGAAGTCCATCGTCATCCAATCGTTGCTGTCTTAAAACGGAGTTGAGGATGCGCCTAACAAGGCGTATCATACGTTCCCAGACTCCACCATGATGGGATCCTGCTGGTGGATTGAAACTCCATTCAACACCAGATGGAGTAAGAGCATCTTGAATCCGTTTTTGATCCAATGAAGCGAGAGCTTGCCTCAACTCCCGTTCGGCTCCAACAAAATTTGTCCCATTGTCCGACCTGATGTCAACAGCTTGACCCCTTCTGCTGATAAAACGACGTATTGCATTGATGCAGGCATCTGTTTCGAGGGAGTTTGCTTTTTCCAAGTCTATTGCTCTGCTCATCATACAGGTGAATATCACACCATATCGTTTGCATTGTTTTCTGCCTTGCTTGATTTCAACAGGTCCAAAATAATCCACTCCAACATTTGTAAATGGAGGCAAATCAGGAACAAGTCTCTCTTTTGGAAGATCCGCCATCTTCTGCTCCAAAGCTTTCCCATTAAAACGTCTGCAATTGCGGCATTCAGATATGATTTTTCTCACTGCTGCATTTGCATTGGTGATCCAATATTTCCTCCTAAGAGTTGACAGAGTATGGTTTCGTCCACTATGTCCCAACAACTGATGAATATGTTTAAGAATGAGCCTGGAGATATGCTGATCTTTAGAGAGAATAAGAGGGTGTTTTTCCTCCATGGGCATTGCTCCTTTACTTAACCTTCCTCCAACTCTCAACAGCCCATTATCCAACATAGGGTCCAGTTTATAGATGGAACTCTGTCTGCTTACTGTTTCAGTCTTGGACAGCAAGCAGGAAATTTCATTTTCAAACCTCTGCTGCTGACAATAGCGTACAATGGCCAACTCAGCTTCCAACAGATCCTTGGGCTTTAAGGCGTTGCCCTTTGATGTCACTGCAGCCTTTTTTCCTTTCACTCGCCCATTATTAAGATCAGGGTATTTCAGATGAGCTGTTTGTCGAATGAGCTGCAACAAATGGGTTTTCAGTCTGAGAAACCAGGCAACGGAAATCTTGAGTTTCCTCCATTCGGAAAAGTAGTTAATAAGAAAATCAGTGGGCTTAATTGAATCAGTGGCAGCACAGTTCACAAGAGCATCCCCTTTGAGCTCTGGATCATTGGAGTCCATCTTATTATCAACAGGATTCTCTGGCCAGAATCCCTCAGGCTTCCAAAGAAAGCTGGGGCCCTCAATCCAAATGTGGTTAGTCAGAAAACGGGTCACTTTCATTCCCCTTGATGCAGCATCGGCTGGGTTGTCAGTGGAACCAACATGCCTCCATTGGGAAGGGCTTGAAATCTCTCTTATTGTTGAGATCCGATTTGCCACAAAGGTTTGGAAACGTTTATCCTCATTGTTGATGTATTTCAGAACTGATGTACTGTCTTTAGCATCACGTCCACTCTGGCAGCCAAAGCTGCGGCTGTAAGTTCCAGTCTTGGGATCGTCACAGTTTTTAAAAGCGCCACTCTGGCCTTTCCTAGTAAGAAAGCTACATTAATATGATCCTTGTTGTCTTTCAACCGGATGTATGTTACAGTTCCATAGCCATCTTTACTGGCATCAGCAAAATGATGTAACTGGCAGTATTTGAGGTTCCCAAAATCTTTTGGTTTCATACATTTTGCTACTTTGAATGAAGCAAGTAACTTGACCTCCTCCAACCACTGTTCCCACCGTTTTAAAATATCCAGTGGGATGACATCATCCCATCCACAGCTCCTCCTACAGAGCTCTTGCTGCATCATCTTAGCAGGTAGGATGGCTGGAGACAGAAAACCCAAAGGATCGTATACTGAACTGGTGATGTACAGCATGCCACGTCTGGTTGGAGACTGACGTTTCATCTCCATCTTAAATCTGAAGTAGTCTGACTCAACACACCACAGTAGACCTAAAGCTCTTTCAGCTGGGAGGTCATCGCGATCCAAATTGAGCTCTTTTAAATCCTTTGCCCAGTGTTCTTCTGGGATAGACTGCAACACTGCTTGACTGTTACTGATCCATTTCTCCAACTGAAATCCACCTCTTTTACAGAGAGCATTTAGTTCATTCACCATTTTTATGGCCTCTTCCTCTGAACCCAAACTCATCAGGCAGTCATCAACATAAAAGTTTTGCTTGACAGCAAGAACAGCTTGATCAGAAAAATCATCTTTGTTGTCATCTGCAGTTTTCTTTAGCGCATAGCTAGCGCAACTTGGAGAGGAAACGGCTCCAAACAAGTGCACAGTCATTCTGTAGACTTTCAGTTCTCTGCTGATGTCTCCTTCTGGCCACCAGAGAAAGCGCAGAAAGTCTCTGTCTTGTTCTGCAACCTTCACCTGATGGAACATGACCTGAATGTCACCCATAAATGCTACAGGCTCCTGCCTGAAGCGAAGGAGTACTCCAAGCAAGGAACTGGTAAGGTTCGGTCCTTGTAGCAGTTCTTTATTTAATGATGTTCCTTGATAAGTGGCTCCACAATCAAACACCACTCTTAACAAACCTTTTTTTTGGGTGAAAAACACCATGGTGAGGAATGTACCATACTTTCCCAACTGTACCTTTCAACTGTTGATCTGGTACTTGCTCGGCATAACCCTTTTTAATGACATCCTGGAGGCAACTTGAATATTCCTTATGAAGTCGAGAGTCATTTATAAACCTCCTTCTTAATCCAAGTATC